GACCTCTAAAACCTTGCTGTTTCGGTTGTTTTGAGACTTCTTATAGTGCTGCAGCCAATAGGAATTTGAGTGTGGGGAGATAGATGCAAACTTTGACACCACCCAGAAGTGTCAGTCTTGTCTTTTAGAGCAGCCTGAGATTTGACCATAACAGCAAGATTTTCATTGCTACTTTAATTTCCTGTTTTCCCATGACAAAGTCTGTTTAGCATAACACTAGCTTCAGGCTGGTGATAACTAAATGAATTTCAAAAGGTGTCTATTGAGTAAAGGAAATAGAGCTGTTTGAGATGGTGATAAAATAACACTTAGTGAGATCTATGGAAAAAATCAGGCTTTCAGCAATTGAATGTTCAATTCATACAGGAAATAACAATTACAAAACAAGTAATATTTATGTTTGGGCATTGATTTTTTTTCAGGAGAAAATAATTAGAGCTAAAATGAGTGGAGTTAAAACTGAACTTGGGGAAACCTAAAAATTCTCCTATGCAGTGGAGCAGTTTATTTCAGGTAGTTATATAGTGCTGTCAATTTACGCAGTGCTTTACATATACAGTTGTGGCCAAAATTATTCAACCCCCAATGCTGTAAAGGGGTTTAGGGACTATAGTGTACATTTGGAATTGTATTCAGAATCAAATCCTACAAGGACGTTGTAACTACCCAAATGCAACTAAAATGACATCAATTGTTTATGTAATACAGTAGTAAATGGTTCTTATGTGGTTTCTTCATTGCCACAATTATTCAACCCCTTAAAGACTACCACTCTGAAGAACAGAGGTTCATACAGGTGCTTTCCATCAGGTATTGAAAACACCTGTGGATGTCACCGAGCAGCAATCAAGCATAATAAGCACCAATTAGGCAGCTTTAAAATGACTGTGATACTCAGCTCCTTCTAGACATTTACTGGTGTGGTTACAAACATGGTGAAGGCAAGAGAATGGTCCAGGAAGACAAGAAGAAGAGGTGATTTCTCTTCACAGGAAGGGCAATGGGCTATAAGAAGATTGCAAAGATGTTAAACATACCAAGAGACACCTTAGGAAGCATCATTCGCAAATTCAAGGCAAAGGGCACTGTTGAAACGCTACCTGGTCGTGGCAGAAAGAAGATGCTGACTTCGACTGCTGTGCGCTACCTGAAGCGTTAGAGTGGAGAGAAGTCCCCGTGTGACTGCTGAGGAACTGAGAAAAGATTTGTCAGATGTGGGTACAGAAGTTTCAGCCCAGACAATAAGACGCACACTGCGTAATGAAGGCCTCCGTGCCAGAACTCCCAGGCGTACCCCCCTTGCTGTCTCCAAAGAATAAGAAGAGTCGACTGCAGTATGCCAAAAGCCATGTGGACAAACCACAAAAGTTGTGGGATAGTGTTCTGTGGACTGATGAAACAAAATTAGAACTGTTTGGGCCCATGGATCAACGCTATGTTTGGAGGAGGAAGAACAAGGCCTATGATGAAAAGAACACCTTGCCTACTGTGAAGCATGGTGGAGGGTCAATCATGCTTTGGGGCTGTTTTGCTTCTGCAGGTACAGGGAAGCTTCAGCGTGTGCAAGGTACCATGAATTCTCTTCAGTACCAGGAGATATTGGATGGAAACGTGATGCAGTCCGTCACACACCTGAGGCTTGGGAGACGTTGGACCTTTCAACAGGACAATGATCCCAAGCATACCTCCAAGTCCACTAGAGCATGGTTGCAGAGGAAAGGCTGGAACATTTTGGAGTGGCCATCGCAGTCACCAGACTTAAATCCGATTGAGAACCTCTGGTGGGACTTAAAGAAAGCAGTTGCAGTGCGCAAGCCTAAGAATGTGACTGAACTGGAGGCCTTTGCCCATGAAGAATGGGCGAAGATACCCGTAGATCGCTGCAAGACACTTGTGTCAAGCTATGCTTCACGTTTAAAAGCTGTTATAACTGTAAAAGGATGCTGTACTAAGTACTAAGATTGAATGTCACTTGGGGGTTGAATAAAACTGATAATGCTGTGAGCACAGAAAAGACATTTGTGGTTATTTCATTATAACTGTTATGTTATATTTGTCTGACCTACAAGTGCCTCTTTAATGTAAATGTAAGCAAGATGACTGAATGATCAAAAGCAATGTCAAACTGGCCAAAACACTCAATTTCAGTGGGGGTTGAATAATTTTGGCCACAACTGTATATTGTATATTCACATCAGTCCCTAACCCTCAAGGAGTATACAATCTAAGGTCCCTAACTTACATTCATACACACACATACTAGGGCCAATTTAGACAGGATCCAATTAACCTACCAGCATGTCTTTGGAGTGTGGAAGGAAACCCACGCAGGCACATGGAGATCATGCAAACTCCAGGCAGGTGGAGCCGTGGATGGGATTCGAACCAACAAATCTAGTACTGCCAGGCAAAAGTGCTAACCATTTATCCACATTTACTCACTGTGCTATGCAGTTTGAATTGATCCATCTTGGTCTCACCCTTGTCTGTTAGGTAATCTAGAGGGGACTCTTTTTAAACTATAAAGACAGCACTTATTTTTTTGTTAGTTGGAAGGGAAGAGGGATTAGAACACTTGTCAGATTTTTATTGCTGTCTGTGCCCCTGGTAGGGAGATTCTGTCCTGTTTACTGTTATTGAAAGTGAGCGTAAAAACAAATTTTGGGTTGTCCCCAGAGCATTAATAGAGGAGAAATCTTCCAATGGGGGCACTATTTCTGGTGACAACCAGGGATTTCCTTGTGTTGGAGGGATTTCCTCTCACTTCCTGTTTTGGCTATGGGATAAGAAGTGAAGGAAAATTTTCCCAATGGGACACAAATGGCAACAAATACACAGGTTATAACCCTCTCTTAATCCAAAATGGGAAAAAACTTTTGCCTTTTAGTTCTACTTTAAGCAGTATTACAATATATAGAATTGCCATTACCCGTGGATCTGCTTTTGTTTTTTGGTAGTATAGTTCATGGGCTGAAGTAACAGTCAAAGCTTTGTATCTGGCACAGAATTATTTTGTACGTTCTTTAGCCTGGTCTGGGCTGTTTTAAACCTTTATATACCAAGATATCTTTGCTTTATTCCCTGCTGGAACGACTTAAAAATGTTGAGATACTCAGAGGATTTAGATAATGTAAATGTTAAGAATTCTTCAGAAACGTTGATATATTACCATTTGATAATGGAACATGTTCTGGGCATATTTGTCAGCAAGAAATTTTTTTACTGCTGAAGTTATAGATCATGCACACTAATGTGTGAAAACATAAGTCGGCATGAATGTACTTTCTTGCAACATGGAGGGTTTATTCTCCAAAATGTGTTTTTTATTGTCTATGATTTTTTTATTGAAAAGTACAACCAAAGACTCCTGTATGATAGTCTACACTAGTACCAGCTCCAGTTATTGTGTGATACACTCACCTCATAAACTAAAGGACAAACTTCCTTCATTTGTGTCTCACACACTTCCCCTTCCAGACACTGCAGCTCACAGTGGGAGGGTTTCAACAACAGAGGCGGTCCTGTCAATCAAGAAAGCAGTGGGCAGGACTGGGTGTGGCCAGATGCTGATTGACAGCCATACCCCTGCAAGATCACATCCCATTGTAAAGTAAGCAGCCTACACGTGAGTGGCAACTCTGCTCTGCTTCAGTAGCAGTGCAGCATTGTTGCCACACCATCACAGGAAGCTGCATTAGATATATTTCACTGGTAAACTCATCTGGTATCTCTGGGAAAATTATGAGTGCAGGTGCTGGGGGTAATATTATACTTCTATGTGCTACAGCTGGGTACAAGACACCGAAAGATGCCAAAGAGTAATTTTGGCGTTGGGAAAGCCCTCTTAAAAGAACGCCACCCTTGAAATGTCTTGACTTTGAGGATACCTGACTGTGTGTGTGGTGTGTGAGTCACCTAGCAATAAACCAAAGGAATGTCACTGCGGATGTTAGTTCTTAGACATGTGCATGGCAGAAATTTTTGTTTACTTACAGAAGCATTCATTAATTGAAGAATTTCGTTTCATCACATTTGTTATGTTGAAACGATTCGTTTTCGGAATTAGTTTTTTGTATCTTCGACATTCGTTTTGTATATTCTTTCGTCTGGATGGATTGGAAAAATGTTAGTTTTTCTAGAAGATTGCTATACACTCATCGGCCACTTTTTTCAGGTACACCTGTTCAATTGCTTGGTAACACAAATTCCTTATCATCCAATGTATGGCAGCAACTCAATGCATTTGGGCATCTAGACATGGTGAAAACTTGCTGAAGTTCAAACCCAGCATCAGAATGGGGAAGAAAAGGGGATTTAGGTGACTTTGAACATGGCCTGGTTGTTGGTGCAAAATGGGCTGGTCTGAATATTTCAAAAACTGCTGATCTACTGGGATTTTCACACACAACCATCTCTAGGGTTTACAGAAAATGGTCCGAAAAAGAGAAAATATCCAGTGAGCGGCAATTGTGTGGACGAAAATGCGTTGTTGATGTCAGAGGAGAATGGGCAGACTGGTTCGAGATGATAGAAAGGCAACTGTAACTCAAATAACCACTCGTTACAACCAAGGTATGCAGAATACCATCTTTGATTAACCACTTGCCTACAGGGCACTTATACCCAGGCCAATTTTCAGCTTTCAGCGCTGTCGCACTTTGACAATTGCGCGGTCATGCAAGATTGTACCCATATGAAATTTTTATCATTTTTTTCTCACAAATAGAGCTTTCTTTTGGTGGTATTCAATCGTAGCTGGGCACTTTACTTTTTGTGCTATAAACAAGAAAAGTGCAAAAAAAAAAAAAAAAAAGTTTCTTTGTTTCTATTATAAAATTTTTCAAACAGGTAATTTCATCAGGTACTGATGTGCATTGAGGAGGCAGCACTGATGGGCACTGATAGGCGGCACTGAAAGGCACTGATAGGCAGCACTAATGAGGTTGCACGGATAGGCAGCACGAATGAGGTGTCACGGATAGGTGGCACTGATAGGCGATACTGCTGGGCACTGACTTGCACAACCGCTGGGCACTGACTGGCAGCACTGCTGGGCACTGACTGGCACAACCGCTGGGCACTGACTGGCAGCACTGCTGGGCTGCACTGATGGGCACAGGTGGGTGGCACTGGTGGGCACAGGTGGGTGGCACTGCTGGGCACAGGTGGGTGGCACTTCTGGGCACACTTGTGTGACACTGAGTGGCACAGGTGGGTGCACTGCTGGGCACAGGTGGATGCACTGCTGGGCACAGGTGGGCGGAGCTAGTGGGCACACTGCTGGGCACAGGTGGGCGGAGTTAGTGGGCGCACTGCTGGGCACAGGTGGGCAGAACTTGTGGGTGGCACTGCTGGGCACCAATCATCAGGGCACTGATCATCAGTGCCCTGATGATCGGTGCCGATCCCTGCTCTAACAACTGCGGGTTCTCGGCAGTATTTTTCTCACGATCTGACAGCGTGAGGAAAGTGCAGCCGAGAACTGGCAATTGCATTTCCCGGTGATCAGCGTGTCATTGGACACGGCTGATCACGTGGTAAAAGGCTGCTGTGATTGGCCTTTTACCACATCACGTGATCATCAGCCGTCATTCGGCTATCTGCGGTCGGCAATTAGTTTACTTAAACAACACGTCGAACCTTAAAGCAGATGGGCTACAGCAGCAGAAGACCACACCGTGCGCCATTCCTGTCAGCTAAGAACAGGAAATGGAGGCTACAATTTGCACAGGCTCACCAAAATTGGACAATAGAAGATTGGAAAAATGTTGCCTGGTCTGATGAGTCTCTATTTCAGGTGTAAAATTCAGATGGTAGGGTTAGCATTTGACGTAAACAACATGAAAGCATGGATCCATCCTACCTTGTTTCAACTGTTCATGGACGTGCAACGGACAAATCTGCAGCAGCTGCGTGATGCTATCATGTCAATATGGACCAAAATCTTTGAGCAATGTTTCCAACACATTGTTGAATCTATGCCAAGAAGAAATAAGGCAGTTTTGAAACCAAAAGGTAGTCCAGCTCAGTACTAGCAAGGTGTACCTAATAAAGTGGCCAGTGGTTGTGTATTTGATATATAATCAAACAGATTTGAATCAGAAGGATTCAAAATTTTCGAGTGCTAGTCCAACCTACCAAGAGAAATGGTGTGAGCGTCATGTGCATCCAATTTAAGAAATGGAACAAAATTTGTAATTATTAGTTATCTGAATCCAAATTATTGGACAAATTCTAAAATTTAATTAATTTCCCCATGGGCCCAAACTGATACTACAAATGTAACAAATACATTTGTTAATTTTGTTATAACTTGTTTTGGATTCTTTGACATTTGTTTCTAAGTCCATACAGAGCTTTGTATACATCTGAATCTCCAAACATAAAATTTTCATTTGAAAAATGAGTCAACAAAACACACGTCTATTTGTGCCTTTGCAAGAACCTCTATGGCATGTGGTGTCAAGAGGATTTTCTAAAAATGAAAGTAGATTCCAATAACTTTAGGGCTTCAGGGGTATCTGGGCTTTATTTATTAAAGAGCTTTACTAAGAGATATAGAAAAAAGGGAAGGAAACCTGTATAAATAATTATCTCTACCTTGTCACTGGGTTTTACTGGTACCATGTCCCATATTATAAAGACATTGAAAAATGCAAAAACCCTAACAAGAAAAGCTACCTGGACTTTTTGGATACCATACCAACAACAACAACCATACCAACAACAAAACATACAAGTGTTATAAAAATCATAACTTTATTGTATGATATTAAAAAACTTGTACAAAAATTGAACATCAACAGGCTCTCTAAAAACACGTACACCAAGCTCGATATTAATAGCTCCAAGATTACATATTACAAGAGTACATAAGGACAGTGTGATGTATATAACTCCTTGCTGTAAAATGTTCTGACGTGTTTCGCAGCCCACTTCCCCAGGGAGATCTGACTTATATCTCTGTTTTTTTTCAAAATTCACGAAATGGCCACAGTCCCAACAAAGGACAACCACAGTCACTCACTTTGGGAAGGACCAAGTCATTAGCAGTTGCGAAAATATGTAATATATTCGAAGAAAAAATTCCCAATCCATAATAAGTAGCCTTTCAAGCACCAAAATTCCATTCTCATTGGGTTCCCAAAGAAGACTGGTGCATATAATGTGTCATGGAGCCAAGCAATAGATTACAAAGAGCTAAAGGTATAGGTAAGGCCAATTGTTCTTAGGTATGCTAATGCTTTTGATGACCACTGCTTCCCATATGGAAGAAAAATATATATTGAAATATATTTTAAAAATGTTCTTCCCAAATATATTGCCATATACTTGAAATGCTACAATTTTGACCATATTCAATATATTTCAATAAATATATATATACTGCATGTTGAAATGTGTTTATATTACAAAAAAATATATGAAAAGTTATAAAAATACATTTCATATATACTGTATGTCTTTAAAAATACACATCTACATTTTTGCAATGTATTTACAAATATATGTAAAAATATAAGTTAAAATGACTTTTTTATATGTTAAAAAAAATCTGAAGAATATATTAAAAAAATATATATTTTTAAAGATATATATTTTTTAAATCTATTCTTCAGATTTTGTTTAACATATAAAAAAGTCATTTTAACTTATATTTCTATTGAAATATATTTTGAAATATATTGAATATGGCCAAAATTGTAGCATTTCAAATATATGGCAATATATTTTGAAGAATATTTTTAAAATATATTTCAAATATTTTTCTTCCATGTGGGTTACAACAAGAGATACAGAAATCCTGTAGTGTGGGGTGTGTGGACATAGGACAGGGAAATATCGGAAGGGAGAACTGCTCTTGCTGCTTGTAGCAGGCAGTTATATTCTGCTATTCATTATTATTATGGCTGGAGTTTTATTTTAGGCTCAAACTTCCTCATTACCTAAAAATGGTGGCATCTTCTGTATACCCAGAAGTACCATTTATTTTAGCAAAGACTGAGCTCATTAGTTTAGACACAGCAGCATGTGGTATGGTATTATTGTATATAAAAACACATTTAGATGATTTATGGTCAGCATTCTGTTTCCTGGGTTATTAGTTTGTAGAAGAAAATGCATTGACATAGCCCCACTCTGTATTAGTAGCAGCCAGCATATACAGTACGTCATTGTCCACGTTCATGTATGAATTATGTTGCCACAGCACATTGATAAATGCTTCATATAGCTTGCTGAAAGCAGTGATAACATCTGTAGTCCTGATGAAAAATGCACATAACCTAACCTTTGTCTGAAGTAACGAAACGTTTTGGTTGTATAATATATGCATGTGTCTACAAAGACACGCTAATGGTGTCTGTAAATGGTCTTATTGATAAACACATTCTACCAGCCCAGTTAAGAGGTTTGTATCTTCCCTGGATCTATGTGTTGGGTCTTGCTCATTGACATCCTTAGTCAACGCTACTTCTGCTGCTGCTTTTAGTAACCAGATTGTAGCTTTCAGTTTTCTAGTGTTGAATAAAAAATGTGAAGGAATCTTAATCATTGCTATGGGGATTACAGTTTTACCTTAAAGAGTAACTGCAGTCATTTGTTAAAAAAATTAAACGGCGGCAGCTACAAAATACTGTATCTGCTGACTTTTAGGAAACAGACACTCACCAGTCCAGGTAACCAGTGATGTCTTCACTCAGGCCAGTTCTTTGGGGGTCTTTGGATCGCGGTGCTGCCATCTTGCGAAAGCTGGCTTTGACTTCATTGTTTTACAATTGGCTCCCCACTGCGCATGCGTGAGATTGTTCTGCGCTGTCAGATTGTTCCCATGCACATCACATGTCCCAGGAAGTGGCCGAGGGTGGGAGTGGGTACCTGTCAGAAGGTACCCCGCTACCTCCCAAAACCCCCCCCAAAAACGTTAAAACATGTTAAAGGAGGGGAGGAGAGACAGATTAGTTGTACCTTCACTTTTACTGTAAGTGAGGGTCTGCTTTAACTTTTACTTGATATTTGCAAATTGCTATGTTTATGTCAAGGATTAGTTTACTAATTAGCTAAAATTTAAAGTAGAACTATACTCACCTTCAGTCCAGCGATGCAACATCTTGGAGCTCCCTGAAGATATCAGCAGCCAGCTTCTGGGTATCGATCACCAGCCACTTTCAATGCCTGGGCTAAGATGATGTCACTCCCACAAGTGCAGAATTCAGTCAACTCGGCATTGCCAAATTTGTACAATGAGCTGCAAGTGCACTGCACAACTCCGTGTACAGACACAGACAGGCAGGTAATTAATAGTGCCAACTATTTATTTTTTGCTATAAAATTCCACTTTAAGGCATTGTCTTTAACTCCTTGGCGCTGACGGTATATAAATATGTGACCTAGGTTCGCTGGACCTTGATGCTGAGAGGCCGCATATTTGCAAAACCAATGTAAGCAAATGTGTGCCAAGAGCACTCACCCTGCTTACTCCTGGCCCATTTACCGATGCCACATGGAAAGGTCCCAGTCGCAAGCGGCTTTCTGATCATGTGATCGCTGTGACATCCAATCACGGCGGTCACGTGACCTTAAAGCCCGCCCTGCCTCCCGGCGTCACCAACGCCTTAAAGGACCGGTAGGCGCCATCGCCAAGGGGTTAAAGTGGAACTTTATCCTTTCAATCAACATTGACTATTTTCAATTCTTATGCTTCTAGCTTTCGTAGATAGAAAGGTATATTATATTTACTTGTTTTAAGCTTTTTTGTTTTACATTTTTTTCAGTTACTTCCTGGTTTCCATGCCTTGGCAAATGATGACATTCATGCCAGTGGTCTTTGGGGGGGGGGGGGGGTTCTCGGCTAAGCACACCCTAATGCCTGCATGACTGAGCTAAGGACAGATGGATTCCAGGAAATAAAGACTACATGATTCATCTGCCCTTATGCTGGCCATAGACAAGTCGAAAATTGGCCGACTTTTCGGCCGAAAAAAAAAAAATCGGCCGATTTTGTCACTGTTAGTGGGGTAATTGGTCAGCCTATTTTTGCACATTTTTTTTAGCGGTCATGGATTTTGCCGATTTTGCCGATTGGCCGATTTAACCTGCAATGATGGGCAAATCGGCCGATCGTTTTACCGATTAAAAAATCCGCACATGAGCGCGTCCTGCAAGGGACAGAAGACATGGGGTGAACTTGATGATTTTGTCGGCCGATTTTTTTTTACCGTTGGTGGTAACGTCAGCCGACTGAACGACCGATTTTTTTAGTTTTTTTTTTTTTCTCAAAAAAATCGGCCGATTTTCGACCTGTCTATGGCCTGCATTAGTCAAGATGGACATGGCTAGAAATGCTAGCGGGTTGTTTTTATAAAGTAATTTCTCAGAAAAATAAAGCATGGAGATATGGAAGTATGGGGGAGTTTGAGACAATGTGTCTTATCAGGAAATAAGGGGGGCGGGGCACTGGAAGAAGGGGAGGATCAGAGAAGTCAGGATCAAAC